GGCCCTCCTGTACGTGCACCCCTGCACCAAGGACCTCTCCATGCACCCTTACACGTACACCGGGGACCTCTCCATACACCCCTGCATGGGCACCCCCGGACCAGGGACCTCCCCGTGCGCCCCTGCACGTGCACCCCAGCACCTGCGCGGGGCCGCGGGTCTCTCCGCGGGCTGGAAGCGGAGCTCACGCCGAGCCCGTCCCAGCCTCCCACCCTTGCCGCAGCCCCGGCATCCTGCCAAGAGCCTGACCTTTGGGCCAGGCGGCCGCGGGCCAAGGCCAGCCCCCGGCACCGAGCTCAGCCCAGCGCTAACCCTCTCGCTCCGGGGCCAGATCCTGCCCCGTGGCCACCATCACAGGGCACCCCCCCCGCCCATGGGGTGCTACCCTGGATGTGTATCCCGGCTGGTCCATCCCCTCTGTTGGAGTTTGCTGCCTAATTAATTAGAGGCTTTTAATTTAAAGCGGGGGCAGGCACCGGGGACAAGGAGCAAGGGGGGGGTGGCTCTGGGTGACACCGGACGTGTCCTCTGCGTCAGCCAAGGGTGTTCAAAACCCTGGCAGCTGGGAAGGGGGCAAAAATGGGCAGAGTTAAGGGGATTTGGGCTGGTTCACCCCCCCAGCCCTGTTGCTTGGCCCTGTGCCGGTGGTCCCAGCGTCGGTCCGTGCCGCTGACAGGTAGCATCACCTGAGGGTCCCCCCAATGCCGGCCAACTTCTCCTTACTCCATCCCACCTCCAACCTTCCTCCGAAGGGCAGCCAAAAGCCCAAAAGCCTCCCAGCCATGGCCCAAAACCTGGTTTCTATGGAGATTTACGGAAAGGGAATGGAGGGATAAATAGGTCTAAAGATGCCAAACTTTGGCCAAAGAATATATGGCTGGTGCACGGATCCGTCCCTCGAGCTGTCCCCAAAGCGAGGACAAGTTTCTGGAGGATGCTTGGAAGGGATGGGGGGGTTTTTACGCAAGCGTCCCTGGGAACGTGACCCCGATGTTTCCCTCCGGGGATCCCCCTCCATCCCCGATGACTTTTTTGGGGTGCGGCCACCCTGCTTGGGGAGCAGCAGGTGGGGAAGGCAGCGGCCAGGGCGCCGGGGGGCCGCGTTCCCACGACTCCTCTGCTCCCGCGAGGTGCTATATTTAAATCAATATTTTCCTGTTTAATCCGAATGCTGCTAAGTCAACAAACAGAGCATGGCAGCGAACATACCTAATTTTCCATCCTGTGCTGGATTCGGCCACAGGGAAAGGAAAGATGCAAGAGGTTGCCAGCCCGGCATCCCGCTCATGCCTTCACTGAGCAGCAAATGCACCCCAAATGCACCCCAAATGCACCCTTGCTCGGTGCCGGGCTGCTGCACACGCGTGTGCATGGGTGTGCAGGCATGTGCTGCCCATCCCAGCAGCTCATGGGATGCTGGAGGCAGAAAAACTTCTCTGTCTTGAGGTTTTTTTGGGTTTTTTTCTTGCTTTCTTGAAAGCATCCTTTCTTCTCGCGGCCCCCGCGCCGTGCACCGGAGCGGGACGTGCTGCTAACGGCTCCTGGGGAATTAAAAGCCTCGTGCCCGGCATCAGACACAGGGCAAAGGAGCTCTTCTGCACCCAGGACGGCTTGGCCGGCTCCAGCCCCACGGAGGATCGCTGGAAAGCGCCCAGGACAAACAGTCCTGCCGTCGAGGGAGAACAGCACGTTACCTCTCCCTCAGCTGGGACACGCCGGGCAGCCCAACCCAGCAAACAGCCGGCACGGCAGCGCTCACCTCCGCCAAAGCCACCCCCAAACCATGGGGGCTGGGAAAATACCTTGGGGGAACGATGCTGTAGGGATGCTGGTCCCCAGGTGAATATCTTGGGGGAACGATGCTGTAGGGATGCTGGAGCCCAGGAGAATATCTTGGGGGAATGATGCTGCAGGGATGCTGGTCCCCAGGAGAATATCTTGGGGGAACGATGCTGCAGGGATGCTGGAGCGCAGGAGGGTATTTTGGGGGAGCATCGCTGCACACTTGCCGGACTCCATTATTAATCCCTTCCCAGCATCGTCTGCTGGAGACGGGCACCAGGACGGACGGACCACCCCCACGACGCGGGACGGATGCTCCAACGCCCCAAAATCCCCAAGCAGCGATGACCGTTTCCCCCAAGCAGATGACTGACCTCGCGATGCCGGCCCTCTCCATTGAGTTAGGGAGGGGGGGGGGGGGGAAGGCTTTTTTTTTTGCATTTCTTTGCCATCGGTCAGGGAGCACGTAAATCTCCGCTCCCAGCCAGCCGTCCTGGTGCCAAGTTATATCCGGTCCTCGATGCTCTTGCCTATAATTAAAGCAACTCCCTTGCAGGGCTCGGTCCCCCTCCGCCCCCCCAGCCCCGGCTGGTGCCATCTGAAATAAAACATCCCAGCTCCGCAATATAATAAATCAAAAAAAGAAATAAAAATCCTGGTTTCAGTTATGTTATGGCTGCAGCACAAAGAAATTCAAAGGCAGGAGAGAGATTTGAAGATACAGCCGCGGCGTTGCCCTTAAAAGGGAAAATTCGCACCCTCTTCGCCGAGGCCGGCGGGTTCAAGCAAGGTGAGGAGCGGCATCCCCGGGGTCCGGCCCCGCGGGGTGGCCCATGTGCCCGAGGTGATGCTCGGCCCAACTGGGCTCCCAGTTGCCAGAGCCCAGTGCTGGAGTTGGTAAAAATCCACCCGAAATGATCCCAAAGTGACCAGCTGGGGGGTGTATGGGGGTGCGGGGTCCGCAGAACATCCCTGACACCGGGGCCATCACGGGGTGGGCACCGCGCCTGGGGCACAGCAGGGAGCCGCCTGAATAAGAAATATCTCTTTATAAATTATTAATATAAACCATATATTATATAAAAACATATTAATAATTTAGTAAGAGATATTCTTCTATAAAGAAATGCCGTGCCGCCGGGTGCACTGCCTCACCTTGGGGACCTGCCGATGTCCCCAAGGTGCCGCCAGCCCCGGCCCCGGGAGGTTCCTCATTACCCTGTTTAATTATAACACTTGATGCTTCAATAGCACTTTTCACCCCGAGATCGGAGAGGACAAGCGCCTCGCTCTCAACTGGTACATCGGGTAAAAATGCTGCAAAATTCACCCAAAATTATTTCCAAGGATGTTTTACGCAGGAGCCAAGAGCTCCCCGTTCTCGGCCACCAACGGCTGGGGGGGGGCGGCGGGCGGAAGGCAGAGCTCCCCAGGAGAATATCTTGGGGGAATGATGCTGCAGGGATGCTGGACCCCGAGAGAATATCTTGGGGGAATGATGCTGCAGGGATGCTGGACCCCGAGAGAATATCTTGGGGGAATGATGCTGCAGGGATGCCGGATCCCAGAACATCTTGCGGGGAATAACGCTGCAGGGATGCTGGACCCCAGGAGAAGACCTTGGGGGAATGATGCTGCGGGGATGCCAGACCCCAGGAGAATATCTTGAGGGGATGATGCTGCAGGGATACCTGACCCCACGAGAGTATCTTGGGGGGAGGATGTTGCAGGGATGCTGGACCCCAGGAGAATATCTTGGAGTAATGATGCTGCGGGGATGCTGGACCCCAAGATAGTATCTTCAGGGAATAACGCTGTGGGGATGCTGGACCTCAGGAGAATATCTTGGGGGAATGATGCCGCAGGGATCTGGATTTCGGAAGCGTGCAAAGAAAAACACCCCCGCTCCATGCAGCTCTGCCCTGGCCAGCGAGGGTTACACCACCGGGCTCAGCCCCGGGGACTTCACGCTTGGCTGCCGGCGGCTGTTGGAAGGGAACGGTCCAGCCCGTCCTCTTAAATCGGCATCGAAGCAGGGCGAGAGCCCTGCCAGACCCACTCCCGCGAGCTCTCGGCTCATCCCCCACGGGAATGGGTATTTCTGGGCTTCGCCCGGAGCTATTAAAAGCCCCGTGGGTGCCGGTGCTGCTGTGCTGCAGGAGGAGGTAGCGCTTCCAAGAGCTTCCCGGCACAAACACTCAGAGTGATGGGAACCCAAGTCCATCTTCAAACAACAACAGCCAAGGGGCCGGCAATGCCGAAAACCCACCCCAGGAAAGACCCCAAAGCACACGGCCGCGCTTCGGGGTGAGCAAACCGCCTTTGCACCCCCCAAGCAGCATTAATTCTTCCGCGGACAGGATAAAACTTTACCCATCGATAAAATATTCAGTACATGCACAAGAATGTTTTTCCCCCTTTTTCCCACGCCGCCGGCACGGCAAAGCCCATGGTCCCGGGCGAAGGGATGGCGATTTTTCTGGGGGGGAAAATGCCAATTTGCTCAATAAGGGGTATGACATGGGGAATCCCCAGCAAAAGGACCATTTAAGCCCTCCCCGCTAAGGAAAAGGCAATTTTTGGTTCAGCATCTCGGGGCCGGCCAAGAGCACACCCGTTTACCGGGACCTTATACAGCAGCGCCAGGAGATGCTTTATATAAATATAGTATATAATATGTATATCTATAAAACCACCTTCCACCAAAATTTGGTGCTATTTAACCTAAAAACTGCTTCTTCCCACCCAAACCCCACCTTTTTATTGGGGGGATCGCTCCTACAAACAAGAGCTCATCCCTTTGGGACCTCCGGAAAGGGCTGGGAAGGCTCTTGGCCACCTGGCAGCGCATCCGCAGGTGGGAATTTGTCCCCAACGAGGGACACGCGAGGGACCCCCAAAGCCACCAACGCTTTGGAGGGGTCACGTACCCCGTGAAACGAAGGTGTTTTTAGGATGGATGGGCACTTACCACCTGTGGCTTGGTCCTGGGGCCGTGTTCATTGGGTGGCCGTGGGCACCGGGGCAGCCGGGGCGGAGGGGCAGCGGGCGGAGAGCGGGGTCCATCCCCGGGACTGGAGGACGTGTCACCTGAATTGAGGGCCAGCATGTACCGCTTGGTGACATCCTCCAGCGAAGGAGGTTGGAGGGTCGGGAAGGATTTGCTGGGTGAGCGGCTGGCAGCTGGCGCGGGGAGGTGGTTGTGGTGGCCGGAGGAGACAAGCGGCTCGGGGACGGTGATGGGGACGAAGGTGGTGGGTTCACTGGTGTGACGGACGTGCTTGGTGGCCGGGCAGCTCTTGGCGAGGACAGCAGGCGCTGGCGGTGGTTGGTTTTCCTGGTGAGCCGCGCGGTTGGAACGCTTCTTGGAGCTGCGCCGGGCAATGCGAGGGGACAACACATCAGCCAACTTGGGGTCAAAGCCATAGCCGCGGCCGGTGCCCGGCGCTGCTGGTTGTGCCGAGAGGATGGGCTCGCTGCTGGATGGTGGGATGCTGGGCTCCAGCTCGCTGATGGCCTCACTGGGACCTTCGAAGGCGTCGGCCGGCAGCTCACCGCGGCGGCTGGGATCGCTCAACGACTTCTTCTTGATGGTCTTGCCGTTGCCCTTCTCATCGACGAGCTTAGCCATGGCTCCGGGCTGGCTGACAATGGTTCGGATGAGGCTGCTGTAGTCCCGCGGCCCATCGCTGCTGAGCGACAGGTCGCTGCCTGCGCTGCCTGCGCTGCCTGCAATGGCGGCGGGTTGGGGGATGCCCGCCTTGGCGCTCAGCGAGCCCAGGAAGTTGCTGTCGACGGAGAAATTCTTTGCCTCCTCCGCTACCGAGCATCTCCGGTGGGGCATGGGGTCGCTCAGGGAGCGGTAGGGCTCGCTGCCACCCTCACTGCCACCCTCCATCCCATTGGCACCTGCCGAGGGGAACTTACGGCGGCGCCGCAAGCTGCCGGGGGTGCTCGGTGTCTCGGATTTGCCAGCTGGAAGGTCTTCAACCGCTGCTGCCGGGTGAGCGGGCAGTGGCGTTTCGGTGTCACCAGCTGCTGGCCCGGCATTGGGCAGTGTCCAGGCATCCACAGCTTCACGCAGGTCTTGGAAGGGCATCCCCGCGGGCTCTGGCTCCGTGACGATGCCCTCGTCCGTCACGCTCGACTCGTGACCCGACAGCTCCTCCACGGATTTCCTGCGAGCAAGGTTCTCTTCCGACTCCGCTTCCTTCAAACACCGCGTGCTCTCCACCTGTCCCCGAAGGGTCGCATCCGTCGTCCCTGTCGGTGCCACCTCCTCGGCGCCCTCCACACCTCCGCTGTCCTTCTGCTTGGCCGTGAAGCCGTAGTCCTGCTGGGAACCCATCCTGCTGATCTTCTCAAAGACCTGCCTCGCCTCCTGGATGTACTGGTCCTGGATGACCATGGGGAGAGCATCCTCGTCCCTCCGCTGTCCCCCATCCGAAGCCACCTGGTCCTGGCTGTCAGCAGTGGCCAGGAGGAGCTCGGAGGAGCTCTGCTTCATGGTGCTCTGTAGGAAAAGCCGCCGCGTCCCTGGTTTTTCGGAGCAGGTAAAGGACTTGGCGCGACGCAAAGTGGCCGTCAGGTCCTTGAGCGTTGGCCGCTCGCCCGGCGCCCAGCGGCTGGGGGGCTGAGCAGCACCGCGGCTGCCAGGGGAGGGGTTGGAGATGCCAGAGCAGCCGTCGGAGCCCATGTCAAGGCCGATCCTCACCCCTTTCTTCTTCACCTTCAGCTCTGAGAGGTCCGATTTGAGGAAACTGAGGAGCGTCAGGGTCTCGGTGGCGATGTCGGGGTTGGACAAGGACTTGCGGTGCTTGGCCCGCTCCCCTTCCAGCCCCGGCTGGTGCAGGCTCTCGCTCCCAAAGTCCGGTTTTGCCTTGGCCGTGCCCTGCGGCAGCTTGGCACGGACGCGGACCACCGGCTGTCCCCACGCCAGGCCATCGCTCGTCCCGAAACTGGGTGATCGATAGACGCCGTAACCCGCCTGGAGAGTCCGTCCTTGGTTGGGCCAACAGATCCCAAACTGTTCCTCTTCCTTCAGCGTCTCTGTGCTGGAATAACGACTGCTGTTCCGCGACCCACCGGGGCTGCCGAAGGGCAGGATGTTCACCTTGGAGACACGGGCCACCACGGGCAACGGATGACGGGGGACCACCCTCCCGCAGCCTTCGGCCTCGCCATCGCCGCCATCCGCCGGGCTCTCCCAACCACCGCTCTCCTTCTTCTTCTTCCGGGCGGCGCGGTGACGGTGGGCACCGGTTTGCCCTTCGCCTTCACTGCCCGACGAAGCGCGGGGAGAACGGGATGCCGCCGCTTCATCCTCCCCGTTGGAGCGGGGTGATGGGGAGGAGGAGGGTGGTTGCGGTCGAGTCGAGTTATGCCAGGAATGCGGGCCGGGCTCCGGCGGAGCTCCGCGGGGAGAACGGAGAGCCGGGTGCGGGACGCGGCTGCGGGGTGGAGGCGGCGGGGGAGCTCCCCGACCGCTCCCGGTCCCACTCCCAGCCCCGCTCCCGTTCCCCATCCCGCTCCCGGTCCCATTCCCGTTCCCATTCCCGGTTCCCCCCGTAGGTTGCCGGCAGCTTTCCCCGAAGAGTTTCCGCATCGCCGGGACGCTGGGCCAACGCGGCGGCTCCGCGTTTAACCCCGGGCCCGGCGGCGACGACGACGGCGGCGGGGGGGGGCGGGGGGGGTGGGGGAGGGCTGGGGTTTGCCTGCCAGCACGTGGCGATGTGGGCAGGGGGCTCGTCCCGGCGCTGACGCCCGCCACTGCCACCATCTCCCTCCAGATCCTGCTGGTTGCCTTC